ATATTGGGGCACCTGGGTGGCTCAGTCGTTAAGCGTCTGCCTTCGGCTCAGGTCATGATTCCAGGGTCCTGGGATCGAGTCCCACATCGGGCTCCCTGCTCCGTGGGAAGCCTGCTTCTCCCTCTCCCACTCCCCCTGCTTGTGTTCCTGCTCTCACTGTCTCTCTCTGTCAAATAAATAAATAAAATCTTTAAAAAAAAAATTAAATAAATAAATAAATAAATAAAAAGCATCTTAAAAACATATATTGAATAAAACAGTAAGTTACTGAAGAATATGTTTTATGTAATGTTCAAAGATATACAAAACCTAATAGTATGTTATTGGGGTTGGCTATGTATACATGTAGTGGAACTGTAACCTAAAGCAAGGGAATGATAAACCCAGTGTCACTGATAACGGTCGCCCTCTACTGGAGAGTAGGGGAAGAACACCTCGGAGAGGGCATCACACAAGGAGCATCCGAGATACCCTTGATAGGTTCTGTTTCAAGCTTTGTGGTGGGGTACTGGTGTGTTCATTTCACTGGTGACCTTATGAAATATTTATACTTGTAAAAGAATATATAAGGCATTTTTATTGAAACGGAAACAAATAATTGAGGATAAGTTATAGAAAAGCATAATTTTAAAAACAAAGGGAATTAGATTAAGAAAGGGTAGAACAGGTATAAACAACTCTTCCAAGAGATTTTGCTGTAAAGTGGGAGAGAAATGGGACAGTGACTGGAAGGGGATGGGAGACGGGCAAAAGTGTTGACAATAAAAGTGGTGATGGACCATGGATTCTCAGCTGCAGGAGAGACGAGAAGGATATCTGTTGAACAAAATATAACAGAAATCTAGTTTATAATCAAATGGAATGCCAGAAGAGACCTTAGAGACCACCTAATCAGCTCCCTCATTTTGCAGATACAGGAAGAGAGCCAACAAGGGGTAAAGTGAGTTGCGCACCACTATACCATTGCTTCATAGTAGAACTCTGACTAAACCTAGGTCCCTGATTCTCAGTCCAGTATGGAGCCCATGAAAAGAGGAAGCAACGTTGTGAAGGGGAAAAAAAAATACTACTAGGTATGGAAGAAAAAAGAGGAGTCTAAGTTGAATCTGAGGTCTGAGCCTGGAACCTGAAAGGCAATGTATTTCATGTTACAGTGGTTAAGAATCACCTAACTTGGGAGTCTGGCAACTTCTGTACCCTGTACCAGATGAGCTGACCCTGGAGAATGTCTTTGTTTTGAGCCTCAGTTTCCTCGGCTGTAAAAAGGAAATAATACCTACTTCACTGGATTATTATATTTATAAAAGCTCTAAATACAGTGTCTGACATATCTTAAGCCCTCAATAGATTATGGAATAGTGGTTGCTGTATGAAATGAGAAAGTTGAGCGAGAACTGATTTGGTGGAGAAATAGAATGAATTTGGTTTCACACATGTATTATTTATTTGATTCATATTTTACTAATTTCCAAAGGACCTGATTTGAATTTTAGACAAATGGAATTTAAGTCCTGGTGGGACAGCCAAATGATGATTACCCGTAGGTAGCCTGAAAATGTAGAAGATGAGTTCTGGTGACATACAAGGGCTAGAGACGTAAGGTTGCAGATTATCAACATGGAAAGCCAACTCCACCTCTATGCCGGTTAGCTCTGTAAGGATGGGAATGCTGAAGAGAGGTGGTCTGAGGACCATGCTTAGGAAGAGGAAGAAGAGGCCAGAGAAAAACAAATGTTTGGTCATAAAAGCAGGAGAGGAATCCAGAAATCAGAAGAGTATAAAGTTGTGGGAGACGAGGAATGAGGAGAAGGTTAACACAAATGCAGCACAAAACCTCTGTGCTTACTACCTGTAAGTGTAAAGGAGAGACAAACAGAAAAGCAGATTAAATTTGGCTGGCTCTCACTGGTGGCCTTTGAAAGAGCAGTCACAGTGAGATCATGGATGTGCAAGCCAGGCTGAAAGATGTAATACGGGTAATGTGGGAAGAAAATAAAAGTAAAAATACGAGCTAATGGCGTCTTGTTGGTTGTGGAGTGTGCAAGGAAGCTAAGAATGAGGGTTCTCAGTCCTTCAGTCTGTGCGTTCTTACGCATCACTTTCATAACAATTTCCCATAAATACAAAACTTAGCGTTTTTTCTTTTCTTATTTTTCTTATTTTGCAGCAGATGTGACACTCAACTCTCTGGTGTCTGAGGCATTTGTGAGGTTTTTTGTGGAGGTCGTGGGACATTATTCTTTGAGCATGACTGTCACTGAGCATGGGGAGCGTGTATTCCAAAGGGAACCATTCCGTAAATCCCACACCTCCCGAAGTGTACGCCACTTCCTGGATCTCTTCATGGAAACACAGATGTTTGCAGGCTTCATCCAGGACCGAGAGCTTCGGAAAAGTGGGGTGAAAGGTCAGTTTCATCATGAAGTTCTCCCCCTGTATTTAGTGAGCCCTGGGAGGGTTTGAAAATAATATAAACAAAAAATGGTATAAAGCTACAAGCGTTCAAAATCTGAGTTTATTATGGAAAATAGTTATTTTTATAATTTTGTTTTAGCTATTGAAGCACATTGGTAGTAAGCACAGAGGTTTTGTTTTGTTTTTTTTTTAAGATTTTATTTATTTATTTGAGAAAGAGAGAATGAGGGGGGGAGGGCCAGAGGGAGAAGCCGACTCCCTGCTGAGCAGGGAGCCCGATGAAGGACTCGATCCCGGGACTCCAGGATCATGACCTGAGCCGAAGACAGGAGCTTAACCAACTGAGCCACCCAGGCGCCCAGCACAGAGTTTAAGTGATTTTTAGTAAGTATTGGACAATTTTACCAACATGAGTTTTCCTTGTAGGTTTGTTTGAGGTCCGGGCCCTCCAGTATTTGGAAACAATCCCAGAGTCTGAGCCTAGTGGGATGAATAAAATTTTGCGGAGTCTTGGTGAGTTGTTGTGTTTTCTTGTTAGATAATGTGACTAAAAAACCTTTTGCAGAAAGTGTGCCTCATCACAAAACTTCATAATCAAATCAACAGTATAACCTCAAATAGGCTGACCAGAAACCATGACTGTACTTCCAAAGTGTTTTGGAGAAAAAGAAGTCTTTCTCAGAGGTCGGGATTCTCCATCAGAGTTGTCCTTGGGTCTGTTTTCCTCAGATAACGTGATAACTTGCATATCATAATTATTAATCTTTTCTAGGTCACATCACTGGGAGGATCTCATAAAAACTGTGGATCTTTTTCCCAGAAAAGCATGCTTAGAACATAAAAATTTGTATATAATTATAGGGTATTCATGGACCCTCCTGAAGCCCATCCGTGGACTCCAGATTAAAAACACCTGGTTTAGAGGGCATCTGAGGCAAAAGAGGATTTCCCACAAGTCTAATTTTACACTTCAGAAAGAAACACAGATGTTTATGATTTTTCAGTTATAATAATTAACTTATTATCTTTTGTGATATTAGAGAACGGTGATGTGGTAGCCCAAAATAATGAAGAACTATATTCCATGGTGTTTATATGGGTCCTTGAAATATGTACCCCCTGGTAACTAGACTTATCATAGGGATCATTTTGTAATGTATAAAAATATCAAACCACTATGATGTACACCTGAACCTAAGAGGACATTGTGTGTCAATTATACTTCAGTACAAAAAGAAAAAGAAATATATGCCCCTAATTAAAATAAGGCCTTGTCCTTAAATATCTGAGAGACCATGGACAAATTATGCCTTGGGTTGTTATTTCATCTTTATACCGTGAGGTTAGATCAGATCAGTGGTCCTGAACTCCTATTACAATATTTTAATCTCTGGGGAATGTAAATGAAAATTTTCCCCACTGCAGGCTCCAAGAAATCTCTGGGGATCAGGCCAAGCAATTTTAACCTATAGTCAAGGCTGAAAGCCACTGGATTAGTGATGTCTGAGTTCTCTTTTACCTCTACAATTAGACACATAGGGTTTGTTTATTTGTTTGGTAGTTAAACACATCACCTGCTAGCTTGAGATGGCAGCTTACTCCTGGGCTGACTTAAGTTGTTAATCTCTTGCCTCAAATAATGTACAATAAATAAAAATGAACTAATGAGAGTTCACTCTACTTCTTTCTCCCTTTAGGAAGTAAAATGAAATTTCTGCAGAAGAAATGAAATCTTTGATTGACTGTCTCCATCTTAAATAGAACAGAAAGTGCCAAAGAAAATACTTCTCCAAGAGTCAGGATACCTCCAAAATCCTGGAAAGTTGAAAAGGTTACAAAGCAGTCCAGGCCCTTGGAGGAGGATTCTCCTGTTGCTGCTGTATTAATCACTGGAGGATTGTTGGGAGTAGTCTGGAACCAATGTTCTCATTACTCTGCCTCCAATTTTTTTTTTCAGTGGCCTTTTCTATTTAATTCTTGGGCTCTTTCTTTGTGTTATGTACTTAGTCTGTGAAGGCACTTATCTTTTAATAGGGAAAGATTTGGTGTTGCATTTTTTAAAAACAGCTCAAAGATGAGCACAATGAGGGAAATGCTGAGTTGAAGGTACTGAGAAAGCATGATAGAAGTGCAGAATGCACCCTACACACATCATTCTCATCACTGAAATACCATAGCAGCTTGACACCTATGGGCTGTTTCAACAGAGCTAAGGAATATACTCCTCATATATCTCCAGTTTCTGTTTTTTAGTCTAATGTTCTGTCTGGGGGAATCTCACTGATGTGGAAGCCCTATTTATTTAACACTGTTATTGAGTATCTTATACAAGTAGGCACCTTGCAGCTCCTCCTCCACATCGTGTGGCACTTGAGTAGCTTGTCAACATTAAACTTCGTGGGATTATAGCTAACAGGAAAATATCCTTTCAAGGGCATGAAAACCCCCTTTTCTTAGTGTCCCCCATGTGCCATGTGTGATGGTACACGTATGTCATCTTATTCAGTCTTTTTTTTTTTTTTAAAGATTTTATTTATTTGACAGAGAGAGACACAGCGAGAGAGGGAACACAAGCAGGGGGAGTGGGAGAGGGAGAAGCAGGCTTCCCGCGGAGCAGGGAGCCCGATGCGGGGCTCGATCCCAGGACCCTGGGACCACGACCTGAGCCGAAGGCAGACGCTTAACGACTGAGCCACCCAGGCGCCCTCAGTCTTTAAGTCAACTTCATGAGATACTTGCATCTCCCTTTTATTAATGAAGAAACTGGAATCCTAAAAGGTTAAGTAACTTGCCCAAAGTTATACAACAGAGCCAGAACTGAAACCAGGACTATCCATTCATGAGCACAGAAAAAGTTGGTTAGTCCTGCAGATGGAAATTTGAGCTCTGTGGGATTATAGCTATTGAAAAGTTTTCTTTTTAAGCTGAAGTGTACCAGAGCCAATTTTCAGCTCTGAGGATAAGGGACTTCAAACTATAGGTGCCTAGATGTCTCTTTTTTGGTTCCCCTAGAATTGTTGGACTTTTTGCCCTAATTAAATTGGATTCAGACTATGAACATTCCTGGGCACTCACCACATAATCACCCTGACCCTTAATATCTAAAATAGTAGTATTGATTAGAAGGAACTTATCAGTGATGGTGTAATTTTCATTGATAAATGTTATAGCAGATGTCAGTTTGTTTTCTTCAATTCCTGCTGATGGTTTTAACTGGCATAAAAATATTTATTCGAACTTAACAAAACCTTGTAAGTTGTATTATGATACAGTTTATTGAGTTGTATTGTCATTACAGCCCATTCAGGTGCGCATGAGTGAATCTGAAGCGGACCGCATTTAAGACCGGTGCTATATAGTTCTTACGGGTCTAGAAAATAGAACTGAGCCTATGTCTTGTTAAAAAAAAAAAATGTGTATTAAGCATCTTACCCCAGTAGGTGGGCTCTTACCAGACATCTCTCCATTTGCCACTCCAATCCTGAGGGAAGAATTAGTAATTGGGAATTGTTTATAAAACGAGGGTAGGAGGTCTTACGGTGGTGAATCCTGACCGTCCCTCTGTGAGGAGACCTTTGCTTAAGGGATGGGGGTCTTATTTTATCCCCGTGACCTGAAGCTGCTTCCTTTTTCTTAGGTCTGTTTTATTTTGTTTTTTGTAAAGTATTATGAGTTCTGGATATATTTGTAAAAAAATATTGCTCAAGATTTGTATAAAGTGTTGTTTACAGATCTTTTAATGAATAAACACAAAAATTCCATGGATCTCTTGGAGAATGTTAAATAAAGTTGCTTAAGATGGAAAGATCTACTTCGCTTAAATCTATAGCACATTTATCTAATGATAAGGTTAAGACAATCCGAATCAGTGGTAGACTAACCCGAGTTAATGACGGTGGCCAACATTTCCAGGCTGTTGGCAGACAAAGCCTGGGTCTAGATCGCATACACCGGGCAGGGTATATAGTCCGACTACCTTATTTGGCCTTGGCCCGCTTAGTGAAAGGGAGCTGGGGACACAGACCAGAGACGGCGCCCCGGCAGCAGCAGGAGTGGTTGGGTGGCAGTGAGGAACACTAGTCTATTTCCGGAAGTCCAAAAGGGAAAGGAGTGGACTTTACATACGCCCCGAAGGCAAAATGGCAGGATTTCGTTGAAGCTGGAATTGGTGGGCAGTTTTTAATCTCACCTTGGAGGAAAAGATCAGGTTCCCTTTGTTACGGAGACCCTAAAGCTTCCCAATTTTAACTGGCGATTGGCTCCGCCTTCCAGAATCTGTGAAGTAACTGCATCTACCCAATGCAAGTGTTCTCAAAACTAAGAATAGTGGGGGGTACAGCAAGTAGCGCAACGGGAAAGAAAAACCGCCAGAGAGAAAAGTTAAGGGTGGCAGGTGTAAGGTTAGGGGAGTATGAAACCAGTATCCCTCTCCCTACCAAATCCCGCCGCCGGTTTCCTCCAAAAGTTTTTAAAGCATTCCCCTTCCAGATACCAGCTTCCTCCAAAAGTTTTTAAAGCACTCCCCTTCCAGATACCAGCTTCCTGCGGGGAACGAAAAGTCCCAATGCCCCTCCAAATTACTCCCGGTCGGAGGCAAAAAAGCGGAGCACATTGGAGTACAGGAAATGGAGACGTCCCGCTGATTCTGGGAAATCGCGACGTGACGTCACGTCCGACCAAAACAAAATGGCCGGGCACTTCCTAGTAGCTGGGCGAGGACGCCTTCAGAATTGACAACTGAGCATGCGCTAGAGCCAAAGCGCAAGAGATGTGCATTACATCAGAGCGAGCGCAGGCGTAATGAAATGGGCCTGAGTCTGCGCAGACTCAGAAAGTTTAGGCGAGCCTAACAATGGCGGGCACGGGCTTAGTTGCCGGAGAGGTTGTGGTAGATGCGCTGCCGTATTTTGACCAAGGTTACGAAGCGCCCGGTGTGCGGGAAGCGGTGAGTTCAGGCCGGGTAGCTGACTCAGCGCTCTCGGGCCTTTAGTGCTGGAAGAAGCACCTTAGAAGTTGCTACCCCTACCCTGGCCCCTGTTCTCGTTTCTAGGCTGCGGCGCTAGTGGAGGAGGAAACCCGCAGATACCGACCTACCAAGAACTACCTGAGCTACCTGACAGCCCCGGATTATTCTGCTTTTGAAGTAAGTGTGACGTCTTTTTTTTTTAAGATTTTATTTATTTATTTGAGACAGAATGAGATAGAGAGAGAGAGCATGAGAGGGGAGAGAGTCAGAGGGAGAAGCAGACTCCCCGCGGAGCAGGGAGCCCGATGCGGGACTCGATTCCGGGACTCCAGGGTCATGACCTGAGCCGAAGGCAGTCGCCTAACCAACTGAGCCACCCAGGCACCCAAGTGTGACGTCTTGAGGCCACCGTATGAGCCAGGATCCTGTGAAGCTTTATTTTGGATTGAGAATCTAGCACGTAAAAATGCATTTTAAATTCTGGCTTTAACTATTGCTTGTTTAGCTACTTCTTACTCTATTGTATAGGTGTTACCGGTCCATTGAAAACAGCTAGATAAGCCTTCTCCGGCGTTCTTATTCTGAGACCCACTGACGGACTTTCTGGGGCTTCGCGAAGTACCCAGCAATGCAAAAATTAGTGTGTACAGTTTTTCAGAGATCGGCTCCTTGCGTAAATTCTCAAAGGCATCCTCTATTCTCTAAGGTCTACTCTAAAACAAGTGATGAGGAATTTTTAATATATGTAAGCCTAGGCTCCTGAGAACCACTGGAGGGCGGCCTTTGTATCACAGCCTAGGTATTTACCCAATGTATGTGAATGACTCAAGTGACAAACCATTTGTAAGTAAAATGCTATTTAAATATTTAGCCTGGAAGTGCACCCAAGATACTACTTAGGGTGTAATCAGCTAAAATGAAATGTAAAATATCATCTCTAAATTAATAGATTCTGTTAGGCACTTTAGTATTTGGTTTTTTTCCCCTTTACAGGTAACCATGTATTTAATGAAAGAATTCTGTTATTAAAACGCAGTATTTATATTGAAGTAACATGAAAAGAAATGTCGGTTAAGTTTTAAATAGGAGGAAGTTGTTCCTATGGTATGTCATTTTCCCATACGTTTGCTAAATGTTACCCAGGTATAGATGGTACCACATTAAGAAGTAAGTACAGTAATGCTTCCTTACCAGATTGGCTCCCGAAAATTTCAGATAACTGCATTCAATCGCAAACTTTTAAATATTTGAACGAGTTTTCCTTTTAGCTCTCTTAAATACAACATACGTCTCCTATCTTTATAATTAGTATACTCATCATTTAACCCTTTTTCAAAATAGGAATTGATAGTGTACTGGGCTCACGATCTTAGTCCTGAAAAGAGCCCTGTGAACTATGTACCTTATATGTTTATTATCCTAATTTTTTAAATGGGAAAACTGCAGCTTAGAGAAGCTAATTTGCCCAAGACCTTAACCACTCCTCAAATTGCTTTTGAAACTTCTCTTCCATTAATTCATTTAACCATTTATGAAAGTCTGTTCTAGCCAGGAATTGGGGGACTGTCTTACTTTTTAGTCTAATTGTTAATATAGTTGAAGCTGTCAAAAAATTGAAATTACACAGGATAACTGAAATACTACTATAAATGAATACGTAAGCAGTTCTTTATACTTAGGCCAGGAAATGTGCAGAACAGAAATGGTATAGGATACTGACCAAAACTTGGACCTAAAGAAGTAGACCTCTACCACGTATTTTTTTACTTTTTATTTTTTACCATGTATTTTTTTAAATCGTACAATTGTGGAGCACCTGGGTGGCTCAGTCCATTGAGCGTCTGCCTTCGGCTCAGGTCATGATCCCGGGGTCCTGGGATCGAGCCCCACACTGGGCTCCCTGCTCAGTGGGGGAGTCTGCTTCTCCCTCTCCCTCTGCCTGCTGCTCCCCCTGCTTATGTGCTCTTTCTCTCTATCTCTCTCTCAAATAAATAAGTAAAATCTTTTAAAAAAATAATAAATAAATCATACAATTGTTAGAGCAGATAACAGAACCAGTTTCTTTCACCCCTTCCCCATTTCTCATTCTTTGCAAAGAGTGAAGTCTGAAAATAGGAGCCAGGGCCAAAAGAAAGTATGGGTTTAGGCTCAAAGCCCTAAAGCAAATTATTTTATGTCCAAGTCCTCTCCTCCCTTCCCCCACTCTCAGTGAATACTCAGCTCCATGGTCCTCAACACTGGCTTCACTATACAGTCAACTGATGAGTTAAAAACAAGTTGTAATCATGTCCGGTCTCCACCTCAGAACAAGTAAATGGGAATGGCAAAGAGGGGTAAGATGGGGCTGGGATGGAAATTTTTTTCAAAGCTTCCAGTTGATTTTTATGTGCTGCTGGGACTGAAAGCCACTGATCTAGGAATAATCCTTTTCTCTGTGGGTCCCTTTACATATGAAGTGTGTGTGTTCTGAACCTTGAGAGCATTTAACCCAGAGAAGACTTGGTGGGAAGGGAAATGATCCATTTTATTTTATCTT